CACTGCGACCAGTAGGTCTATTGTGCCCCTAGCTCATCACAATACATCAACCAGCCCCAGAGTGTCTATAAATTTCATAATATAACCCGGGGACAGTGAGTGTATGTGCTCCTCTCTTGGCCAGACATGCCCTATGCTCCTATACCTCCTGCGTGCAACGGCATCACACTCCATAAGAAGGTGTAGAGGAGTCTCTTTGGCTGCATCGCAAAAGCGACACAGGTCGCTGGACCAGATACCTAATTTATGCAGGTGCCCTCTGAGCCTACAGTGGCCCGTCAAAAAACCTGTAATAATCCTTAGTTTCTCTTTTGGGAGATCCATGAGCAGCCTGTATCTTGACAGATTGTAACCTCCTAATAAGCTTTTTGCCTGACGTTGTCCCATGGTGCCAAGCCAGTGTAATTCCCTCAGTTTGCTGTTGTCCCTTCTGAGCATTTCCTTTATGGGGTTTGGTCCTACTGCCAGAAAGGGCTCAGGTCCTATCGGGGTCGAGGAAGCGGCCGTTCTGGCCAGATGATCAGCTTCCTCATTTCCTGCGACCCCCATGTGCCCTGGTACCCACATTAGTTGGATATCATTGACCTCCGCCAGAGCATTGAGCCTCTCGACACACTCCCTAACCAAGGAGGACTTGATCTCGAATGATGCGAGGGCCCTTAGTGCCGCCTGGCTATCACTTAGTATAAGTATCCTTTCATTCCTATAGTTCCTGCGAATATTAATCTCAGCGCACATACTGATGGCATAGACCTCCGCTTGAAAGATGCTAGGGAAAGTCCCCAGGGACACCGAAAGCTTCAGCCTAGGGCCGTACACGCCTGCTCCAATCCCCGCGGGTGTTTTAGAGCCGTCCGTGTACCACTGTATTGTGCTCGCCTGTATGTGACTCTCCATAATAGAGGTACACCAGGTCGCCTTGCTATAAGTGTGGGTCCTGAAATTTCTCTTGAATACCACCTCTCTGTTAATATCGTCCCTGGGGAACAAAGCCAGGGGGAGCTGGGTACCTAGCTTGTCCCTGTTCCTAGATGATAACACCTTGCCTTTGCCGAAGCCCTCTCTCGCAAAGTTAAGGAGGGTTCGCTTTGCAGCCTGTTCAATTGAGAGTTGCAGTGGCTCGAGTTCCAGCATTACCTCTAGCGCTGCCGTCGGGCATGTGCGCATTGCTCCCGTAATGCAAACACATGCCAGACGTTGAATCTTGGAGAGGGTCTGCCTCACCGTTCCTATAGTAGTCCTGGAATACCAAGCCACCGCACCATAAGTCTATTGGTTTCACTATCATGGTGAACATCCATCTGAGGATCCCCGGAGTGCACCCCCAGGATTTACCCGCCAGACGTTTGCACACCATCATCGCTCTCGTGGCCTTAGAGGTGACCGCATCAACATGGGCCCTCCACAGAAGCTTGGAGTCCAGGGTAAGCCCCAGATACTTAACCTCTGTGGCGACACTGATTGCGACCCCGTCCAAGGTCAAGTTCCTCATCCCCTGGAGATTTCGTTTCTTGGTGAAGGGGACTATGGCTGTCTTAGAAGGGTTGATATTTAAACCTACGTCTGTGCACCACCTTTTCGCAAGGTTAAGTCCTTTTTGGAGGATGTCACAGAGAGTACTTGCGAACTTCCCTCTAGCGATAATCACTATGTCGTCCGCGTACCCTTGGCAGCGGACGCCCTCGTTAGTGAGTATCTGTAGGAGTTCGTCCACAACTAAGCTCCACAGTAGAGGAGATAAT